TTTTCGCAGTTTTGAAATTCTACAAATGATAGTAAGAACCGGAAGAAGTGTCTACCATTAAATTTTTACATAAAAAAAATTATATATTTTAAGATATCAAAACAGCAGACAATCTGCGATCACATTTTGAGAGTCAATTTTGATGCTTTTCGACTTCTGGGCACGCTCAAAGGAACCCTTGATGGGAATAGTAAATCCCCACTTCATCTACGGCAGGTGAAATAGTATACCTAGCATTAATAAGGACTTTGCTACTATACCGTAAGTCTGCGGAACGCTGACTCTTAGACTATCATTATCAACTGAGAGTAAAAGAGATGTTAATAAAAACATCTTGTACACTATTATACCACATTATATTTTATACTTGACTCACCATATTATATGTATACGTACAATTAATCATATATCGAAATATTGAGCGGATATGAGAAGCAAAGGCATTGTATCGTTGTACGCCTCAAGAAACGCTTCATTGTATAATTATTCTAAAAATAAAGTTACATATATTATCTCAAATCCTTTTTAAATATTAATAATTTATCACGCATTCTAGATATCTTCTTTTTAAATGTTTGCAATAAATATTTTATTAAATTGTATATAAATTGATAGTAAATATCCTATATATATTTCAATAATTCTGTGAAAATTTCAAGACCAATAAAATAACAAAAGGAATTTCTTTTAAATAAATATTTACAGCATTCTGTCGACCATTAAGAAATGTTCTGGCCATAATTTTTATAAATCAAGGATACTGTCAAGTCATTTCCCAAAATTTTAGGACTGCCACTTTCACCAAAATAACTTTTATTTCTTACTCTTTTTGTACTTCTAGAGTACTAAGTCAAAGTGATGGGGTAGTAATATTTATTAAAAGAAATATAACTTGTGATGTCACCAAAGTGAATATTTGGAACCTAACAGCACTGACAATTAAAATATTAAACAAACCAGTGAACGTCTACATAATAGCTGTGTCTAAGTTAAATATAACAAATAATCATACATACAAACAATCATACATACCACATCCCAATTAAAGATTTTAAGATAAACATTCTCGAAATAATAAAATAGTAGAAAAATTATTAATAACCGCAAGCGTCAATGACATTATACCTGTAATTAATGGAATAACAAGACTAAATAACAATAACATTAACAATAATAACTGAATAAATCAAAACAAACACATTTCTGTATATATTGCTGTAACTGATCATTGAGTTACAGGAATTATTCTTCCGAAGAGAATAAATAAAGGACTCTCGTTATACGAAATAAAACTGAGCGAACTGACTTCACGGCTTTGCAGGATAACATACAAAAAATATGCTGAAACAGTATACCAAGTCATTCTAATACGAATAGCAAATTTAACGAATTCATAGGAAAAATTCAAGAAGTAATAAAAACGTCAACCGTATAAAATAAAAAGACGTAACTTGCCAAGGAAATCTTGGATTAGAAATATTGTAATGGAAATTATTAAAATACGTGATAATAAATTCAACACATTGAAATTATACCTAACCAACTGATTTAACCCTATGAACAAGAACTCAAGAAAAGCCAGACTACCTTGATAAAGTCTACCCTCAAGAATCTCAGAAAAAACAGGAAGCTGCTTACATCAATACCAAAAATAAATGTGCAACACCAAAAAGAATCTCTCATCCAGATAACCAAATGAGTTCTACATAGAGAAAAGAAATAACAGATATATATTCAATAAATTCTCTGTCAATATTCGAGCTAATCCTGAAACTAAATATAAAAACAAAAGTCATTAATAAAATAAAAACCGTGGTATAATGTTTTTAGAAGAACTCCAACAGAAATTCACTCAATTCTACATAAATTAAATGTACATAATCAACGGGACTAGATAATAACCCAGCCATATGTTTTCAAAATATAAGTGATAATATATGTGAACCATTAAGCAAATTAATAGTTTTTATGAGGCAGAAGTGTGCCCAGACACATTTAAAACTATAATTGTTTGAAAAGAAAAGAAAAGATGATCCGACAAACTACAGGCCAATCTCTATCATTTCAGTTTTGGCAAAAGTCACGAAATAATATCTGCAGAATAATATCCTAGACTTCTTACATTCGACAAAGTTTTTCACTAAAACTCAATATGGGTTGAGAAGAATAAGTCAACTAAAATGCCTTAAGTGATGTCACCTCAAATAAGAAATATCTTGATGTCTTCACTGAAGAGTACAGGTATTTATATGGATCTCGCAAAGGCGTTTGATTCATTACACCATAGCCTAATCCTAAAAAAGCATGAACCTATCAACAAAATCTTGAACATATTAAAGTCCTATTTAAATAATCACAAACAAAACGTCAAAATACAAAATGTTTATAGCTCAAAAAGAAATATACTATATGATGTTCTTTAAGGAACCATATTAGGTCCTTAGTTATCTTTGTATGGACTTGTAATGTGCTTAGGATTAGCCAAAGTTGTACAACACAAGATTCAACGCTATCGCCATCCGAAATCACATCCCAATTTATGTTATTAATATTACATCCAGAATACAGAAATAATGTAATTGTTTATACTTAGTCAATTTACTGTTTCTGTGTAAAATATAATTACCTTACAAAAACCACTACAAAGACAGGTATTACACAAAAAACAAGCACTATTACAAATGAATTACATTATTGGTTGTATTTACACCACCACACATATACTTCCACAAGTTTTTAAATGAAAATTTTATGGTGTTATGGAATTCGGAACTTAAATTACAAACTTGATTTTAGCCTACCATTTTAGCTATCACCATAGATAACGCTATCACACTGTAATTATAATTAGCCACGAAAATAGCCGAACGCCAACAAGTGTTCATATTCTAATGTTATCTATGTTCTAATAATATTCTATGAGCTTCGTCCCGCGAAATTTGAATCGAATATGGTATGGTGTGGGTATCGTTTACTTAACTTTATTAATGTTTTTTTTACTGATAGATCAAGATCCCAGAGCTGCCAGACATTGCTTATTTTCTGAGTAACAAAATGGGTGGAATAGTGTAATATTAGTATGTACTTTGGACGTATGCATACCTTCTAACCTGGGGGCCAATTTGCAGATATCAGGTGCTAAAGGTACATAAAAACATTTCTCACTTTTCATAAAGTCTGAATGCTGATTTTTACATAATGTTTCACAAAATATTGTTAAAAATTAATAATCATTACTGCCAGACACCTCATCATAAGATCGTCAGTCCGAAGACTGGTTGGACACGTACCTCCACTCTTTCCTATCCTGAGCTAAACTTCGCATTTCCTTAAAATTAGAACAACCCACATCCTTAACTATTTGCGAACAGTCATCTAACCTAGGCCTACCTCTACCCCTTCTAACTCCTCTTTCTGCCTCTAATATGTCTCTGACTAGACCTTCATGCCTGAGAAGGTGTCCTACCAACATATCTCGCCTATTTTTTATTGACTTCCACAGAGTCCTCTGTTCTCCTATTCTTTCTAATACCTCTTAATTTCTAACCTTTTCTACCCACGTTATCCTCATCATTCGCCTAAAACACCACATTTCGAGGGCTTCTAACCTTCTTGTAAGCAGCCAGACATCCCCCAGACACAATTAAAATGTCGCTGTACGTATAAACGCGAGAGCGATAATTAGATGGTTTTATAACACAGTTTCATTAAATTTAAGTTGTTAATGGCCTAATTGAAATCTTCGATAACAATTAAACGAAATTTGGACATCTATACCGTTTTTATTAATTTGGGATTGGCGCTCTGAATCTGGTTACTAGTTAGTTAGCAAAAATACTGTAATGGATCCATATACTTAGTACCCCTATATTGCTAATAGGGGTCTAGAAAAACATGACAACCCAACGGTGCAGACATATATATATCTGTCTCCCTCATTTATACTTTGAACGTCGTGCGCATGTCCGAGAAGTTACCACGCATACGAGAACTTATCTACTCTAACTACATTATAAGTTTTGAGAGATGAGGACTTCTCCCACTACAGTCACAACTCTTGCGCATAACACATGAAATATAAACGAGTGAGAAGAAGTATGTAGTTGCTGTTTCTCTTACTCGACAACTCCGCCACTTACGGGAACTAGCAATATAGGAGTATTAGGTATATGAGTGGATTGTGTTTATATCTATGGTCGTAAAACATCTACCTTCTATGAAGTTGGTTGTCGTGGGCTTGTCAAATCTTCACTGGTCTATGATCTCAATCAATCACAAATTAACGTAGTCTACTTACTAGTTGATCCGCCATTTATCCGCTGTATTCTCTTGCATTTGTTAATTTATTTAAATTAGAATAAAGTTTCTAGTGTTTGTGTAAGATCATTTATTATTATTTCCTACAAATTATGCTTTAAACAAACTTTATCCCTTACACGCACATAATTTTGTTATCTGTCAATTGTTAGTCAGTGTCATCCTAGTGAGTTGGCTATTTATTAAAGATAATAAACTACTGATTCTTGCATATCTGCCCCTCTTATTCATTTTATTTTATTCCTCTTTTACTGTATTACTAAACAGTTACTTATTTTGGCATTTTATAAACTACCTACTACTACTTCCAACTTTTCCTAATTTTTTAACCGACGCCATTGGAAATGGTCTAGAAATATTTAAATTAATTTTATACATCTTGTATTGTTGGTTGCATAAATCCAGAGGTTACGTGGCTCTCAGTCATTTATAAACGCATGTATTGTTGTGCTCTATACGTGTCAGTAAAATGAAATAAGTGTATTCAATGGTGTAGGGACTCTATATTTATTATCCTGTCTATAGATTATATACCGTCATTGCACGTTACCATAGACAAAAATAATATTTTCAATCTATTATCTATAATTTTTAATTAAAGTTAAGCACTTGTCTATGGTTAAAAAGAATTATAAGGAACAGGACCTATTATCTATGGAACAGGACCAATCACCAATGACACAATACTAACCGACTAACATTAATCCAAATAACCTTGAGAGTAAACTAAGGTCACGATTGACAACCCTATATAATAATTAACCCCTTTATGATTATCAAGTTTTTGCTGAATAGCCTATCATACAATTTCACTGCCAAAACACCGTTTTATTTCGTACGTAATATACAATCACGTAATATGTCTAAAAAGGCATTGGTTTTATTAGCAGAAGGTGCTGAAGAAATGGAAGCTGTTATATCCATTGATGTTTTACGTCGTGGAGGAGTAAAATAGTGTTCTCAAATTAACTCCAGCGTTCTATTTGTATTCTGCACATTCTAGATTGATGTTGCTGTCGCTGGAGTACCAAACAAGATTCCTATTCAATGCAGTAGAGGTGTCATAGTAAACCCTACCATTAGTATTGATGAAGCAAAAGTTAATGGTCCTTATGATGTAGTTGTACTTCCAGGAGGCCTTCAAGGTGCCAAGAATCTTGGTGCGAATGAAGCTGTTGGTGCAATTTTAAAAGAACAAGAAAAATCTGGTCGTTTAATTGCAGCTATCTGTGCAGGTATAAAATTTAAGTTTTCAAGTACATGCACATCTTCAATGTAGCCTTTTAGCACCTGCTTTGGTTTTGAAGGCCCATGGAATTGCTGAAGGAAGAAATGTTACATCATATCCTTCATTTGAAAAAGAACTAACTTCAAATGGCAAATATCATTACAGCCAGGAAAAAGTTGTAGTCGATGGTAATATTACAACAAGTCGAGGACCTGGTACAGCTTTAGACTTTTCGTTAAGTTTGGTCTCTCAATTAATGGGAAAAGAAAAAGCATCTGAAATTGCTAAAGCTTTGCTTGTACCTTATTAAGTTTTTGTTTTATTTTTTTATAAATATAGTGTTTCAAAACAGATTGGTTTTGTAAATCGTATTGTTTAAAATTGTTATGAAAGTATCAGTTTTATCCCTATATTGCAGCCTAAAAGTAAAAAAGGAAAATAAATGTTATACTATATCCATGGATCTCTGTTATAACTTATGTATTAGGACTTCTGTGATTGTCAATAGGTTGCGCGTTTGTAGCGCCAATAATGTCATTAGGCTGCAATTTATATCTTGAATCAATGTTTTCTCCGTGTGAATATATTTAAAAATCACCAGTTGAATTAGCATGAAAGTGAGATGATATTGCAAAAAAATGTATTCTATGTACAAGCTGAATTCTAAATGATATTAGAGGAATGTAGGAAATCTTAGGCTTTTTGTTTGCACGGGAAAATTTTGCAGTTGCCATTTTTGCTTCTGTAAGCCTTTTTTGAGAAGTATTAATAGTAGATTAAAATTTTTTCTTTTAATGTTGTCTTCCGATATAGGTACCTAATGTTTGTCTTCAATGAAGTAATTTCGGTTGTTTTAATGTTTCCCACACATATATAATATAGAGGACCAGTTCGTATAAAATTTATTTTAGACAAGGTTTTATTGGATAAATAGGTATATCATCAGTCAATATTAATTTTTTACAGAAAACTAAATAAGAATAAAATTCAAAATAATAATACTCACTAAACTTAGTACTATCATACGCTTACTACTGCTATATTTTTTATACCTTTTTATAATAAAGGTGAAAGTTTGTTTGTTAAAATAAGCAGTAAGGACATATTACTTTTTCATTTTGTAATAAGACCAATTTTGACCTTTCCTTTTTATACCATTCCTTTTGCTCAACTGATAGATTAATAGGAGTAAAATATATAATATTAATACATTCAAATAGCAAGTTATTTTTGTTTAAAGTAAAAATCCGTTTTTAAAAACTTTATTTAAACAAAAGTTAAAAATTGACCCACAAATGAGATGTCACTAAGACAATACACTTGTATAAGTGAGGTAACAATTCTTGACACAAGTATTTTTTTGTATTAAGTCGCAATATATAACTCCCCCTTCGTTAAGCTGAAGGCGTCTCGCCGATATTTTCAGGTAAAGTTGGATAAATCCTGAGGGGAATTTCTTCCATTCTCGGTCATTGCCTCATTGGTTAATTCCTTGGTCCTAGCTGCTTAAGTCTAGTACACGTACATTTAATAATAAAGAACGTGACAATTACAACAATGACAATAAATATTGTTGAGGAATTAATATGATGTTGGAAACTAATTGGTTCATCTTTAATTAAATTATTTTTGATCATTACTGGTTTTTCAAAATTTATGTCTTTGACGTTAATTTTGTGAAACAATTATTTCGGTACAATTTTTACATATTTTTCCAAATGTTGTTCATATGGTATTGTAGCGAGCACGAGCGTGTTTGTGTGCGATCGGGCATAGGTACGTGTGTGTGAGAGGCTTATCGATTCGCCGACTAGCCGCGGGCGCCTTTCTTCATGTGCGCCGTATTTGTAAACGCGTGTGTCGTACCTGCGTTCTGGGAAAGGAATTAAACAGTTCAAAGAAAAAGAAACTTTTCCGGACGGCTCGAGAAGGTTTCCGAAAGGAAGCAAGGGCGTATTTAAAGGAAGAGACGATCGCCGAAATGAAGTAGAAATAAATTGACCGTTGCAGAAGTGAATCTAGAAAGCGCAGTGAATAGTGATATACCAACAGTCCTGTAAATAAATAGAGTAATTCATCACCTAAGTTAGTAACAATTTAATATTGTTTTTAAGTCTTTTAATAATAATTAGTGTAAATAAATAGTTTTTGTCATTGTGAGTCTTAAAAGTTAATTTCTTAAACCCACGAACATTACAACTGGTGTCAGGTGTGGAGTTGAATAATAAGAAGAGAATTGGAAAAACGGGAGGAAGCGACAAGCGGTAACAAAGCGTAACTTCAGTGGCGGCTCGCGTTGAAAAAGAATGGTCACGATCCCGATACGTTCGTTTTCGAAGACCAATTGTCGGAAATGATGAAAAGTTTGGAAAATAAATTGGAAGAAAACAGTAAAAGTTTGGAAAATAAATTGGAAGAAAATAGTAAATGTCTGAAACGTGAATTGGAGGAAAACAGTAAAAGTTTGGAAAATAAATTGGAAGAAAATAGTAAAAGTTTGAAACGTGAATTGGAAGAAAACAGTAGAAGTTTGGAGAATAAATGGGAAGAAAAATTTAATAAGAATGTTCAAGAAACAGATAAGAAGATAAAAGTGCTGGAAGAATTGATTTTTAAAGGAAAGACAAAACCAATCGAAGGGGATGTTGGCGCATCCAGTACACACAATGAAGCCAGCCAAATCAGTCAAGGAAGCGGTATGGAGTCAAGAACACGAGTAAAACCACCAACGTTTGATGGAAAGTCCTCATGGACCACATACCACAAGCAATTCGAGGCGGCTGCTTAGGCGAATAACTGGGCGCCTGAAGAAAAAGCCACTGCCTTGACCGTTGCGCTTCGTGGAGGTGCATGTGACATTTTGAACACCCTTTCCCCGGAAGAATTGACTGATTATGAACAGTTGGTAAAACGATTAGAGTTGCGCTACGGCGAGGCTCATTTAAGAGCGGTGTATCGCATCCAACTGAAAACCCGTGAGCAGAAACCAACGGAATTGACTCGACTGCCCTAAGACGCTAGCTGATCAATTGGCGTACGATACTGTTAAACGGGCCTATAGAAAACAGGGAAGGGTTCGGCTACTGCGTGAAGAAACGGATCCGTCAGAATCTCAAGAAGAAACCGTCTGTCGAATAATTTCCAAGTTCGATAAAGAAACTCGAAAGCTAAGATGTTGGAATTGCGGCGAACTAGGTCATACGAGGAGGCAGTGTAGGAATAGTACTCCTTCCCCAAGTATTCGACGTCAGCAGCAGGTAAATTCTAAAACAGTACCTGTTGAAACAAGTCGAGTGATGGACAGATATTGTAGGAATCTAACCAGTGACTAGAAATGCAAAGTGCAACATCTACTTTGTCAGAATGCCGACGTCTTTGAAACTGACAAGAATGATAAGGGAAGGGCCAATATATTAAAAGACAAATTCAACAGTAATGCACAGCCTATTCATCAAAGACCTAGACGATTGCCCCTGGCCAAAAAGGACGAAGCAGAGCGAATAATCCACGAAATGCAGGAGACCGGCAAAACTGAGCCATCCTCAAGTCCATGGACATCACCGGTAGTATTGGTAAAGGAGAAGGATGGAGCAACCAATTTTTGTGTGGATTACCGACAGCTCAACAATGTAGCCAAGAAAGACAATTATCCACTACCACGGATTGATGACACCTTGGATATGCTTTCTGGCTCGAAAATGTTTTCCACACTCGATTTTAAGAGCGGATACTGGCAAGTTGCTTTAGATGCTGCCGACAAAGGAAAGACCGCATTCTTGATCGGCACGGGCCTACGGAAATTTACAGTTATACCTTTAGGGTTATGCAATGCCCCGGCGACGTTCAGTTCAGATTTTCTCCACCAAAATCTTGAGTGATCAAATTGGAAAGACCTGCTTGGTATACCTGGATAACACCATAGTAATTGGAAGCACCTTGAATGAATACCTACAGACTTTGCAAACGGTATTCCAGCGGTTACGTGAGACCAATGTGAAACTCAGTCCGAAAAAGTGCCACCTTTTACGTAAAGAAGTTTCTTACTTGGGACATATTGTATCAGCGAAGGGCGTGGCCGTGGATCCAAAGAAGATAAAGGCCGTGAAGGAATGACCAGTGCTTGAAAATGTACACGACATAAGAACCTTCTTGGGATTGTGCATTTATTATCGTCGCTATGTTTATGGATTCGCCAATATCGCTAAACCTTTGACACGTTTAACCGAAAGTGGCCGCAAATTTCATTGGGATTCGAATTGTCAAACGGCATTTGAGACTTTGAAGCAGGCTTTAATCACAGCCCCCGTACTGGTATATCCTTGGCCCAATGGAATGTTCATTTTGGACACTGACGCCAGCAATGTGGGAATGGGAGCCGTTCTTTCGCAGTTACAAGATGGCCAAGAGAAGGTAATCGGCTATTTTAACAAGCCATTATCAAAAGCCGAAAGAAACTACTGTGTCACTAGGCGAGAGATGCTGGCTGTAGTCAATGGTGTAGAACATTTTTATAAATAGCTATATGGACGAAAATTCACCCTACGCACCGATCATGCAGCTTTAAAGTGGCTTCTGAATTTCAAGAATCCGAAGGGTCGGGTAGCTCGATGGATTGAGACGCTACAGGAATATGATTTTGACGTAGAGCGCCGGTCTGGAACCGGACACAAGAATGCCGATGCTCTTCATGATGGATCATCTGGTGGCCATTTTGGAGTGAATAAGACGCATTGGGAAGTCCGAGAGCGATTTTATTGGGTGAACTGTAAGGAAGATGTCAAGAATTGAGGTATGAAGTGTGATATCAACATACAACATACAGCGTAGTTTATTCCCGGAACTTCGACCAACGTAACGATTGGCTAAGTGACGTCACCAAGGGCACGGTTTTCCCTTTTCATTACCTGCTCCAACTACCTGCATCATCCGCTACAACCGTTCTTGTACATAACTACGCTCTTCTATCTTTCTACTTAAAAACCTTGTTTCATTTACTATAATCAATTGGCTTTACTCTATTTTTTTTCTTTTCTACTATTTTTTTACCCTTATGCGGTTGTAGTTTCCCTCTTACCTTTTTTATGAGCAATACATTATTTTTCTACTTCTTTTTTTAGACCTTTTTCCTATTTTGCTAATTCTAATCATAAATTCACGTATCTTTTTTTTACTTCTATGTTTCCAAGCATGCTCTATCCGTTTCTGCTATCAGTTTTTTCATTTTCCTCCGCGAACTTAACGTTAAAAACGAATTCGTTTTTAGTCATTACTTTCGCCCTTCTCTCACTACCCCACTTTCAACCCCTCTTTTTCCCAACCCTTGTTCGGTACTGAAATTTGTATATATACCCAT